CGTTCTGGTTTGCGGCGATTTCCAGAGAGTTTCTTTGTCGTGTCATACAATTGTATCATGTTTCCTTCCCTTGCAGCCTTTTCCACCGTCGTTGCTAAATCTTCCACATATTTACGTTTGTCGGTTCTGATGCTCCTCTTCACTTGTTTGTTTACCTCTGTGTATTCAGCTTGTGTCTTGGCTTTTTCTGCTCTTGTTCGACTGGTATTGATTGCTGCCTTCTTGTTCCTTCTTTCTTGAATCTTATCCAGTGTATCAACAGTGATCCATTCCTTGTGGTGGTGCTTCTTGTGACCCAGGACCTCATGACATGTTGAAGCGATTGCGTCTTTGATCCCCTTCCAGTTGCTCCCCACAGTAGTTCCTTCTCTACTGAGTAGATCATGAAAGGCCTGGAACTTGTTGCCGAGGACTATCTTGAATTTGTTGAGTTTGTCAGTATCCTGAAGAAAGGACTTATTGAACTTTTGTGATATTGTCCGCCCCATTGTCCAGTGCTTCTTGAGTTTCAATTTCATCTTGGCGACCACCAAGTGATGATCTGATGCTATATCAGTTCCTTTCCTGGTTCTCACGTCTTCCATCGTCCTCCTGAAAGGTTTGTTGATGCAAATATGGTCGATTTGGTTTTGCGTGGTGTGATCCGGTGAAGTCCATGTGGTTTTGTGTATGCGTTTATGTGGGAATATGGTGCCGCCTATGACCAGCTTATTGAAGGCACATAAGTTTGAAAATCCCTTACCATTTTCGTTCCTTTCTCCCAGTCCGTGTCGTCCCATGATGTCTTCATATCCAGTGTTGTCCGTTCCAACCTTGGCGTTGAAATCTCCCATCAGAATGGTCAGGTCCTTTTTTGGGCACTTCTCGACGATTGACTGCAGCCTATTGTAGAATTGATCTTTAGCGTCTTCATTGTAGTCGTTGATAGGCGCATAGCATTGGATGATGTTCATTGAAATGCCCTCTTTCTTTGTTTTAAACGAGGCTTTGATGATCCTTGGTCCATGAGATTCCCATCCTATAAGCGCATTTTGCGCTCGTTTGGACAGCATAAATGCAACTCCTTGTGTATGTGGTGCATTTTCTTCTTCATGGCCGGAGTATAACAGAAGCTCCCCTGAGGCTAGTTGCTGTTGTCCAACTTGTGTCCAATGTGTTTCACTGATCCCAAGTACCTCTAGGTTGTATCTTCTCATTTCTGAAGCAATTTGGAAAGCTCTCCCGGTGTCCCACACTATACGAACATTCCATGTACCTAAATAAATGGTCGCTCTGGTTGTCAGAAGGGGCATCGGCCTCGTAACTTCCGAAGGAATTCGTTTTTCATCATGAGGCGTCATAGTCCTTCTAAATGAAGACCTTCTGACTCCCGGGGCAAAGTTTAAAAGGTTTGAATAATTTTTTCTGGTCAGCGTTTTTTTAGCGAGTTAGTTTTCTACGGGATGGGGACGCTAACTACATGCCTAACCCTCCTCCTTTATCCGGGCTTGGGAACGGCAGAAGCCCCCGGAGGGACTTCAGGAGGAGTTACGCATGTCTGTAGGGCAGAACATTTTTTTATTACGGCTCATTATGGTCTGGTGGAATGTCACGAACTAATGGTATCGATGCTGATTTATTATGCAAAATACCTCATTAAATCGTGTTTAGAACGTTGAATCGGTTTCACTTCCTATCGACTAATCTTACTACAAGGAAACTAGACAATGTGCTAAAGACAAAGCCTACTCAAGACCCTATGAAACCTAAAAAACGGCTCAAATGGCTTCGAAAAAAGGGAGCGCCATTTGTGTATCATAATACTGTTTTCAGCACTTAATTTTATAGCTACACATAATCCCATACTCTCAGCTTCTTTCTGAACCACCTCCATTTTTCAGTTGTTTATCCACTCATAACTTGTTTACACTTATTTTCTCTAGACTATCGGAATGCTCTTGCTTAACAAATACAAATAAAAGAAAATTAGATTCAGTAGTCATACCTTAACTATTCCTTCACGAAAAATGTCTGCTCTGGTTCTCGTCCATTCTTTTTCTTGCACCCTTTTTCAGACCCCTTGGGATATTCCAGTTGTGGAACGGGTGATTTCATCCTGCGCCATCATCAAAGCCTCAGATATTGCAGAGGGATATAAGGTTGCAGTTTTGTAGAACTATGGTCTACTATGATATTAGTACTGCTCTAATAATAGACCTAATCCTAAATTTGTAGATTTGTCATGATATAACTGCCTAATCTATAAGATCTTACGTGGAAGTCACATCATCGACTATACCAACTCACTGTATCGTATCAATTACCAATACATGATGTAGAACAAGGTTAGGCTAGAGAAGGAATAATATATTTAATATGAATAGAAGATATAAGGTAATATTCAGATGGACCACGCCTGCATGGCCGAGCCATGCCACTCGATCAGCTCCAGTCCATTCAATTCATTGTTCGCGCCTTCTCCATTGTTAGGTATTTCTCCGCGTTAAATATTGAATATCTATTTTCTGAGTAGTCTCGTGTTCACAGCTTTGTGGATTGTGTGGCTATTGTCCAATGCCACTACATATTCACCATTTGTGCTGCCTGTGATGTCAGGTAATTAGTTTTTGTTATCACACGAATTTCTTATCATTGACTGAACAGAACGGCAGAAATTTATCTCATTATTATGCCTTTGTTTAATCATGGCTATCTGGCGAGTGGCAGCACGAGTTTAGATAAATAGCAAAAGGGACTTACTCACTAATCCCTGTCGTTATCCCATTTTCATAAAGTTATTAGTCAAATAAAGACTACTATATCATTGGTTAGCGGAAAGCCATTGGCTTTGTACAAACACTGCGTGTGAATTTAACGCCATGACCTTCAAGCTAAATCAGTTTTGCGTGAGGAATAACTGTTTAGGCTCTATCACCCGATCGAAACGAAAACAAAATATTCGGGCGAATGACGACTATTAATTTTGTTACAAGTTTGAATGTACATTATTACCTTGTAGAATTATAGAAAATTCCATTATCAGTGCATTTATGTCTGCCACCATAAAGATAAACCCAATCTCAAAGTCGTTGATTTGTGATGATGTGAATACCTCATCTAGAGGGTTTTGCGTGAAAGTCAAATCAGTATCTATACTGACTCATCCTACGCGACAGTCAGAAATGTGATGTTAAGCAAATATGATGAGCACATTTCAGCAAGCGATAAATTAATATATTTAATATGGAAAATTATGGGTTATACAAAATGACCACACGTACATGGCCGAGCCATACCGCACGGATCAATTGCACAAACTGAACCAATTTCGATAACAGAATTTAAAATGTTTAGGGTTGAAGACATACTGCAGGAAATGGATTCGGACAATAACGGTTCGCAAGTATGTTTAAACAGTTTATTCCGAAAACAAGCAGGGAGGAAGGCATTGATGAGTGAAAATATGTATATTTGATGTTAAAAAGATGTAATATTAATGGTGGCTGTCTGGAATAGGCAGGTGGTTCGAGTATGATTGGGATATTGTATGGTACCGATGCTTGATTGAATACCTTCAGACAGTGGTCATAATCAAGAACTTTTCTCTCCATCAATCCAATTTAGCCGGGCTGAAAAATAAACAAACAAATGTATGAGTTTTATGTAAAGCGACTTTCGCATGAACTTTGAGAGCTTATTGAGAGTCAAAACGACATGGTAGTGTAGCGGTAAATAAATCCTCAAAATCAATAGCTATGTAAGGCTTCGACATTTGATGATGTATGTATTATTTTTGATGGACTCACTTAGATAAAGGCACTTGATCACGCATCCATATCAAGTCACTAGTGGATACGTCGTTTTACACATTCTTTTCAACTACCAGCTAGCTCAGACCAAACATACAGATAGCCTTCCAAACATATCTGCAAACTATTTCATTTCTGACTTGACTGGGTTGGCATACTTTGATCATAAAGGAGGTCACGGTTAAGACGTTGTCTAACTTCAAATACACTTGACATCTTTAGTAGTCCACCATTTTATGTTGACCCATTAATTCAGTAGCCCATTGATCTGACCCCGATTCACATGAATGAATGAATATTTCGCGAGTATAAATCCTCCGTTTATTTCCTATTTACTACACCATGACTAAACCAGTTCCAAATACCGAATGATATCAAGCGAAATACGGATTTAGCAGGATGAATCTAATTCAGACATTCGTTTACTGAAACAGATATTGAAATAGGAAGAGGAAAAAGGGGGGAAGCAGGTGAGACAGGAGTTTAGCTCCGTTTGATAAAATGAAACAAACCTTTTATGGCTAAAAAAGCAGCCAACGACTTTAGAAAGATCTCTCTTTCATCTTTTTGGATTCGTGCTTTGATCATAGGTTTGAGTCCGTAGAAAGTTCTCTATAAGCCCCCTGAAGGAATTTAGACGGCAAATTTTGACGTGTATGTCACAAACTATTGAGGCTATATAGACTGACCAGGGTATGAACTAGTTTTGATTATTATTGAACTTAAGAACACGGGATATTTTAGAAATCTAAATCCATAGAGAATACCCCCATCATTTTTGAAAGGATCATCCGTCCCTCTTCCAGAATTATCTTTTGTGACTGTTGCACACAAGTCCTTGGAGTAATAGCCGCTAGTGTTGCCAAATGGTTCGTTTTTCACAAAGACAGATAAACAAGATCTACTGAATTGTAATTTCATCCACCTATAGTATCAGAAAGAGAAATATCTTAAGTGTCACCAAATGAATAATGAAAACTGTGAACCTTTGAGCTCTTCATCATCTAAAATTAAGTAATCACTGGTTAGGACAACTTTTATTTCAAGTTGTTCAAATCAACCAATTGTTTAACGTTCTGTAGATTCAGCTCCAATCAATGAGAAGGTCACATCGTCTTGTTTTATTCGCTCCTAGTATACTAGAAATTCTATTAGTGAAGAAATGAACTAAAGCTATGCTTGTGATTAATATTATGATTCACGAAATTTACAATGGAATATATATTCCTATCTTACCCACCGAACCTTACTCGTTCTCTTCAAATTTATAAAATATGCTCACTTGTTTGTATAATTTTCATCACTGTCAGGCTTTGTTGTTGCGCTACAAACAATCAAACTATAACAAAACAAAATGTTCCGATCACACCTGAGCTATCTGACTTATCTCATAACAAAAGAAAAGCACTATATACTCCATATTGGGCTGTAGAAATCAAAGGAGGTGAAAAGGCTGCGCGTGCTATAGCCGAAAAATACGGATTTCTATATCTTGGAGAGGTAAGTGGTAATCACGTTATGGGCTATCAACACCGAGAAAAATCGTGCAATTTATTTTAAGTTGTAGGCAAAAAATTTTTTCATGTGAATATGATTAACATCCAGCAGCTTTTGTACGATATACAAGAGCAGATTTATGTTACAGGTGAAGAAATGTCCATGGGCTTGATAAATTTCTATTCAGAATCTTGGCTATCCATACATCCAAGCTTTATTATGAATACGAAATGACTTCGTAGTGTGTTCATCGAGAAAGTCTTCAGTCAACTAAAAAATTATAATCTCTTCTGGGAAACCGACTTTTAATTGTAGGTTGAATTTTTCACTACCTATCCCACTCAGATGATACTCAATGGGCCTGTTTTGTTTGATGTGTAAGAGTTTAATCGTGAATCCACTACATCGTCTTAAAACATAGTCCTTCATATAAAGCTCTGTGTAAAGACTTCTTTATTTGACGTAGTTTAGTTTTTACTTCAACCCTGAAACCCCTTATACTGGGTTTAGAAACAGTAGGGAGGTGTTGCAAAGATGTTAGTAAACCAAGAACTGAATCCTATTGAAACCCCAACAACATACCCAATAAATTCCGGTAGCTTTTCTCTTATCAGTCGAAATGGGAATGACAAGCGATTACACAGACGAGTGTAAACTAAGATTTTTTTCATTCCGTCTCCTTGGGACAAGCATTAGTTGTCTTGCAGATCGTATACATTTTTATTATTAATTTACTTTTGTTTGTAAAATTAATGTATTCAAGTTTTATCAGTATATATATATATATATATATATATATATATATATATATTTCACAAAACGTTAGCTTCTGAAAACGGCGTCGTCATTATAATCATGAGGAATTTTTTACGAAATTAATCCTTGGGTTTTAGGAAATCTTACAAACAGCTGTTTGTAAGTGCATTTTGGTTACAATAGTCGGCGCTTATTTTATTAGTACTATGATCCAACAGCATATTAACAAAGATTTTAGTATTTAAATTTCATTTTTCATTTTATTTAATGTACTCGTTCTTAACTTTAAAATTTATTATCATGGTGCTTTGACTTCATTTCTTGTTGAATTTCATCAATAGTTTAGGTCTAAGGAAGCAAGTATTGTTTTATGTGTCAATTAATAGTTGCAAATCTGTTTGAACATAACTTTTCGTTTACCGTAATTCTGCTGCAGTGATGATGAGCAATTACTCACGCTTGTTTGTTTGAAAATCTCCTAACCCAAAAAGTTTGTTAAGTGTATCTCGTCGAATCACCCAGTCCAGAGCATATCACCCATCGTTGTGTCCCTGCTGCATGATGTTAAATCATAGGTAGAGATTATGAAAAGACATAGCTACTTCAGTTAGTTACGTCCTAGTGAAATTGAGGTTTTCCAAATACCTAATAAATGGTGCCTAGTGTAAATCGACTAGTGAAGGTTTGACTCATAGGCTTAGGATAGTGCTGTCAGCTTTATGTTTCGGTACTAGCGTCCCAGGATCCCAGGATAAACGCGTACAGAACTTCAGATTACTTACTCTGACGGTAGTAGGCGACCAAGTCACACATAAATCGCTTACCTCTTTGAAGTCCCGAAGTTAATGTGCATCACTGGTTTTTAATCAGTGTTTATCAGTTCTCTTAGGTAGATTCTCTCTTAATGACTCGAACACTGAAGACTTGTGTTATCTCTCACTATTTTATAACATGTCACTGCCAAGTGGAGACAGTGTTAAAGACTAAATTTAAGATGATCATTTAAGGTGTCAAACTTGTCGTGTTCTGACCACGAGAATGGTCGATAATTTCCAGATCTTCACATAATATGACATGCACACACATACCCACCGTTATATTTATTCCTTTTTTATTTTTAGGCATTAAGGGAATCAATCTGATCAGATTGTTCAGCTATCAGTTTCAAGCTCTTTTACCCGAAACAGGTGTAATATAATAAGTTAATGTCAAAATGAAAAGATTAGAGGGACAAAATAAAGCATTAGGCCAGTGAAACTTCGTATACACTTTTAGTAAATTGTTCATGATGAAATCTAGTTTCGCTAGTCTTATATAATCTAAAATTGAACATTTAAAAGTGAAATGAGTAACATTTTATTCCCTATTATAGTCTTTTAAGCTCTTGAATGTTGTCTTTTATTATCCTAGTGAAATCAAAAACTAGTTTTAATAGTTCTGACAAATAGCAGTAGTATTACATAAATTAGTTTTCTTTCCTTTGGCTCATGTTGTCTACTCTGATTAGATATTTGTCTAGTGTTGTGACTTAGTGATCAAAGCAGTCATCTTTCAATCACCAGATTCCGAGTTCACACCGTACTCAACTTACATTGGTTTCGGGATCTCAGTAACATAACCAGGTCTTGTAGATAACTGTGTTTCAAAGCTCAATGCACAAACTTATTATTAGTTGTCTGTTTACATATAATCAAAGCTGTAGTCAATTAGCCTAATTTCTGGGTAGGGTAACCCTACTATTTTACTTACATATTTGCAATATGAATTGTATTCTATGTAGTGATATTTGGCCATATCATTTGGAGAGCTGTAAATGTTATCATATACTTTGGTTCAATTTTTAATCTTCTAAATTTATTCTTATAAAGCAACATCTATCATTATATTTTATGTAGCAACTATTGATTGTGGTCATTTATTTTTTGTCTATGTTTTTATTTTAGATTTTACCTGGAATTTATCATTTCAAGCATAATCGTATTTCCAAAAGATCTTTGAGACAAAACAATTATTATCATGATCAATTAGCTAATGATGAACAGGTGGGTTTAGTTTTAGTGTTCTAGATTGATGAAACTATTTTTGTTGTGTTCATTTGTTTGTCCATATGAATGCTTACTTTTCCGATATGGCAAAAATTATCGATCGAATTTAAATCATTATTCAACGGAATCTTTTGATGCTATAAATATTTAGTACTAAGAAATAAATAAAATATATCGTTCTCTAAGACATGAAGTTTATTGGGAATTAGTAATTAACTCCGTAGAAAGTAAATTTTGGAGTTAATTATCAATGAAGACGTCAACTAGAGAAGGATTAAACAGATTTCGTCATAATTTGGCTCGATATTGCACATTACTAGAAAGTTTCGAAATGTGATTAAACACCAGTCTAGTAATACTCGGTATTTTCTATCTGAATTCATCTACTAGGGAAAATAAACTCCACAAATTTCCAGAACTTGAAAAAATAATTAACCTAATATCATCAGGGAATGGGAACTACTGAGCATAATTTTTTTATTAAACTGCAGTAACAATTATCAAAACTTAGGACATAAATGGGTTTTTCTTATTTTTTATTAGTCGTTTAGGAATTAAATTACAATGGCTTCAGAATAATACATTTCTGTCTTCATAGTTTAACAAATGTAAACGCAAATTGTTCGTATTGAGATATTTCCTCATAATTATGTGATCAAGGCTAATAATTGTGAACCAGATTTAAGGCCTATGCAAGTGGGAAAATACCTATAAAATTAAAAAAACTCGTTTAAGTTTTTGTCACATGTCGCGAAATCTTACCTAAAAGAGTGTATTCCAAAAAGGGTTTCTTCTGTACATACTTCGCCTCTTGAAATTTCACAAATCTTGAATTGTGTACAAAGTGCGCTGATAATAGAAACAATAGTTTAAAAAGAAAAAATACCATCTCATAAAACTTTCAGGTATTTGTTATATAAATAGACCTAATAAGGTACAATCAAGACAAAAATTATCTTTCATTTTTAGAAATGATAAAGTATATGAATTTATTATGTTTAGTGTTCTACTGAGAAACACGGATGTCCTGGTAGGATAAGACTTTCAGTTAGTTAAAAATGAGCCATGTAGCTTATGTCGTTAATAATAGTTACTTTATTTGTAATTATATTACTGAAGCCAATTTACTAATTATAGATTCCGATCATATTTAACTTGATACCAAATGGCAAGTGATAGTTCTGTTAAGTTTTTAATTTACTTTAGATGAAACACTATGTATTATGATTAGAGTATACAATATTATTTATTTCTGTTTAACGATATCAAAGATTCAGTTAGAAATATTGGACGATATATATCAGATGAATTTACACCTTACTTTATTTTGTACCAAAATTTATCCATTCTTTCCAACAATTTAACGTTTGTCTCCACAAAGTGTTATAAATTTAAAGTCTACTCTCTTTTCCCTCCTATAAACTCCATCTGCATACCTATGAGGACTTGCTAAGTACAGAAGTACTGGTATAAATACAATTGTTGCTAAGAGTATATATGACACTGTTGACTTAGTGGCTTTGCATATGCTAGTTAATGAGCATCAGTTATGAGCTCAACATTTCTCACTGGTACCTTTGGACTTTTCTGCATTATAGGTATGGCTTTTTAATATAAATTTAACTATGCTCACTGGCAGATTTGCAAATAGCACTATCCATTTTAATATTTCTCATAGGTGATTGGTCTTTATGTAGCCCGTCTTTAATATCTATATTTCGGGAGGAAGTTTACTAATTCTGCAGGTTTAATCTCTTATTAAACTGCATATATAGTGTTCAGTAATTTATATAATTGTGTTGGATATGCTCAGTGATTTTAAATCTGTTCGCAAGTGTTACTAATTATTTTAAAATTTATGGCAGCTTTAAATGGAGAAAATGTCCTTTGTTTATAGTAAACCAATACGACAAACCTTTGCTAGTTACAAAATAAGGGTTTCGCCGTATGAATCATGTTAACGTAATAGATGTGTTGTGTCTTTGGCATTAGTTTTTAATAGGTGATTTATAATTATCTTTGTGGGTAAATTATACAGATTATGAATCCATCTGGTATTGGGATATCGGAAAAACACTAACCATCGTTATTCACAAAAAGTAAAAGTCGTGTTAATAATGCATGTTCAACGTAGAAATGATACAATTTCAATTTTTTGTAGCCAATCAAAATCATGTTGTAGTATACAACACTCATTGAGAAGTCTTGTTTTAATAGTGTTCATCATAATAGACTTGTTCATTCTGGTTGGCGATTTTTAGCAAGGTTGTTTACTACAGAATGGGGTTGCTGACCCCATGCCTAACCCTCCTCCTTTACCCGGGCTTGGGACCAGCAGTAGCCCTAGATGAGCTGCACGTAGAGTTAGAGCTACAGGACAGAGTTCATTGGAGCATACTGGTGGGTAGTCTATGCTCCTCCACGAGGGGTAACAGGCTTAAGTAAGTATAATAGACTTGTCATTCTGATCAACATTCAAATCAACACAAGACGTTGAACTTAGCATATATTATCAACTACTTCATGAAATATATAAACTAATATATAGTATTTTATTAATCAAGTAGGGATTTAAGTACACAGTTTTGAAGTACACTCGTAGTTTGTCCATTAATACTGTTCGTCTTCACAAACTGAAGTCAACAGGGTGGGGTTCGAAATTGTGTCTTAAAAGTTGAAAGGCAGGTACTTTAACCACTAATGAATCTCTCCACAAGACTACATTAAGGAATATTTGTCTGTGTTTTGTCCTGATACATCTTGTTCTTTGTACGCTTAGACACCGAATTCCTAACCACTTCCTAGTCTCCAGAAGTACTTTAATCGTGAACAGAAAACCGTGATAAGTTTAGAGGAAGTTTATAGGATTACGTAGTCTAGGGATTTTATGAGATTCTGGAACCCATTGAAACTGCCGACAACTCCAACAACTGGCCAATCAGGATAAAGAAAACACGATTAACCAGTTTCTAGATTTTCTTGGTAGTTTCAAAAGCCCTCTGATTGGTCGACGTATTTTCTCCGTTCCTCCTGGCTTTTGAAGGTTTTTCCGAACGATTCTCGGGTAGTTATAACAGTCCATAATTACAAAAGGTATCTTTGAGTGGTCTAAATATACTATTTAGGACCCCAAACTAATTTAATCTCACGTATTTTATGATTAATTTGACTGATATTGCTCTGTTCTACAGTATCTCTTTGCAATACTTTTAGATTATGACTTTCATACCATAAGTTTATCTGGTTGTAAAATGTTCACTTAGACTATTTATAATTAATGCTACACTACAATCTGTTCTTCTTCAGTAGTATAAAATATGTTTTTATTTTTTATTCCTGAATCATGTTGGTTTCATTTTTACTGATCAGTATTTTTTGGTTAACATCTTAGAGTAGTGAGAGTTTTCATATTCAGCTTCGTTGTTTTTATTTACAGTAAGCTCGTAGCAAAAAGTGGCTTCTGTTTAAATAAGATTAATATATACATTTCTTTGAAAATAGTGTAAAACCAACTAGTGATAAGATATTGAAAGTTGTAAAATAGTAATGCAAATGGAACGTTTGCAATCACACATACACACTGATGCTGATAATACTTATAACTAGGACTAAAAGTAAGCATTGTATTGTTAACCCGTTCACATATATATATATATATAAACGATAAATTTAAATTTATTTACTGCTGTGTTACCATTGTCTTCTTCCACATACTTATTAAGAAATATTGTTATATTTTTTTTAATTGCCGCCAATTTTTGGGTTTTATTTACAATATCGAAAAAGATAATGTACTTTTTTATTTATGTAGTGAAAGAAAGTAGAAACAAAGACTACATGAAGTGTTACCAGTTGTTATTAATATACTTTCTAAGTTATTCCTGACATAAATGTACAAATAAACATTCATCTCCGTAATAATTTTACAGCTTTTAATTCATAGTCTTTTCATAATATCAATTCAAACTCAAAAGAATTGAACAAATGTTGATATATATATATATATATATATATATATATATATATATATATATATATTTAAACAACAGTGATATCAAGTCTATTTCTTATAGAATGTGTTTTTTTTTAAAATTAATATTAATATGATTGTAATTATAATCCTCTTTTTATACATTGTAATTGAGTATATAATTAGTTGGTTATATTTGTCAGTCATTGTTATTATTTTCCTTTTAATGTTTCATTATTAGTCACTTATAAAGAAATGCTATATAGAAATTGTTCATTCGGATTGATTTTCATTGACCAGTTAGCTGAACTTAACTAAATACTCACTACATCGTATATTTTATTCACAACTTAATTGATTAATGAAACAAAATATAAAGTTAACAAAAACAAGATAAAACTAAGAGGGTAAACTTGGGAGAGAGAGAGAAAAAAAAGTAGAGAAAGGGTGGAGTAGATATGTATCTACAATATGATTTACAACCAGATAAAAAATTAATATATTATACTACTGAGATAAAGTGTTAGTCTTAATGTCCAAATTGATGTTGTTTTAGAGTCCAAGAACCTTTTTTTTCTAGTTATTCCATGAATAAGTTTGACAATTCATAAGTTTCTTTCGCTCTGCTCTTAAATCAGTTAAAGTTCATGCAAGAGGCTTCTGTTGAGATTTAAAAGATAATTAATGCCAACTAATAACAAGTAAATAGAGATAAAATAGTGAAGCATTGCAATAGAAACATAGCATTTTATACTGCAAAATAGTTCATAACACAGTATGTAAAAAACATTTTCACATTGAAATTAACAAGTGGTACAAAATGATTAGGCAAGTATTCACATTTCACTAACTGTTTGAATGAACATAAAATTTTAAGGCTAATTAATTACAAAACTGTCCAAATCTGGTTACTTCTTAAAATGTAAAATCTATATAATCAAATTGTAGTATTATTAATTACTGTTCATGTCATTATAATTTCACAATGTTATTGATCAAATGTTTATTTGTAATATATGTCAGTACA